CGCAGCCAATGTGTCTTGGGCTTTACATGGGGTGCATTCAGTACCACGACCGCTCACTGAGCGCTCAGTGAGCTCTTGTATGTTTGGTTTATATTTTTAATTCTAACGGAATATATCAATATTACAGTTTTTCATAAGTTTGTTTAATGACAAATTGATTGCCATTGTCAATGGCATCCTTAGGACTGCTGTCAGTAATTATCCTGATTCAGATTTAGATTATGCTTCCTTCCACATCTCTTTTCCTTTCTTCTTTTTCCTCTCTTTTCTTTTAATTTTCCTTTCTTTTCAATCCCTTCTTTTCTATGCACAATTTAACACCGTTGATAGTGTTAGACCGAAAACCAATAACTGGAAATAAAATATATAACAAAGTATGTGTGTTATAGCGAATTCAGCAGACCGCACTAATGCGCACCGAGCATGTGCACTTTTAATGACACTTTTTCAGTGTCACGCATTCGGTTTGTGCGCACTGTCTCAATTAAAAATCATCGTATTCGACAAATGAAAACTGACCCAATGTAGTGCTGAATTTATATTCAGACCAACCGAATGAACTGAACGAGTTCAAAAAATGTTGAACTGACGTTCCTGACAATGGTCGCGTTCAGCAGACTCAACTGTTGCGGAGCGGATTAATGAGCTCTCGCTGCTATTGGATGATCTAAAAGAATACACCAATAGCAGTGAGCGCTCACGGATCGGCTCCACAACAGTTGAGTCTGCTGAACGCGACCAATGCAATTTGGCATAGCACTAAAGTAGTTCTGCACTCGCACCATGTCAGGGCAGCACTAGAGCGGAGTCAGTGCATATGTGCCGAATTCGCCATAACATTCGCCAATCACAGTCGTTCCATTCTTCAGAGGAATAGCTGATTGGCCAGTTTTATAACATCGACGTTATAATTTTGGCGTAAATCGAGCCGTGTAAACATAGTTATAGCCAAGATATCAAATGATTTAAACGAAAAGTACAACGATGACTCACACGGAGTAGAACGTGTTAAATAATACAAGACATCACATTTACAGTTACATAACAAAGGTAGAGGGAGTTCAGGGCACAAAAATGTAATGAGAAACATCGTTAGTGTCCTCCACGACTTTGGATTGAAGTAGCTTGATCTCGAGCCTCAATTTCTCCCTCTCCATCTCCTGTTTCTTTATTTCATTTGAGTAGCAATTGATCTGTAGCTTCAATTTGTCCTTCTTCAATTTCAGCATCTCAGTTTCATGATACAATTTCCCTTTCTCAGCACGTAGCACCGCCAACTGCTCTTGAAGTAGTTGATGGCTCGTATCGTCGGATAGTACAGCCTCGGTTGTCTCCAAGTCTGGCTTTATCGTCGAGACCGGCTTGGTTGCCATGTTGGTCTCGCTCTCGGGCCCGCTTTCTTGTTCCAGTTCGGTTTCCATAGAAGTACCTTCATTCATGATCCAAATTCTCGAATCTGTTTCTTGGAAGCTACTAGTTGACTTTGGTGATTGTTGAAGTTTTAAAGAATCACTCTGCGATTTATGATTGGGCGAAGTAGACGTTTCTTTCGTAATTTTCTCGATAGTGGTAGTAGAAGTAATCGTTTCTATATCTAGAACTAATATATATAAAGTCTCCTTTAACGAAAATTTCCAGTACAAAAAACTACTAAAACTGGAATCATTCGATGTTTTGAACAATAAACAAGCATACATGCATGCATGCTATTATGGCATCCGTTTCACGCATGATGCACATGATGCATCTTTTATCGTTATTTACCGAATGTTAAACAAGGATAAATGATGCATTATGCACATCATGCGTGAAATGGAACGCAGCCTATGCTTGCTTTGATGCATGCAATCTCTAGCTTGTTGATAGATAATTACGAAATTAGCACAATTATTTCTATTCTAAAGGTGCTGTCGATCATTTATTCGATCATGTAACTGTATTTGATCTTATGATTGATACATGCAAGGAAACAAGCTACGTATAATAAACATAAAACTTAGGCGTGTCAACAGAAATCAGCATGCCGCGCTTAATGTGTGAACATATTCTAGCATCAGGGAGTCAATCATGTAACTTTTTCCTTAGGGCGCAACATAAAAAGTTAAAATTTTTTGTATGCAATATGTATGTACATACATACATAAAAATTTTCATTTTTCACATTTCCGCATTAGGGAAAAAATTACACAATTGATCCTCAGAGCAAATATAGTAGCGTGCAAGCTTATCAATCAAGAGAGAGAAATCGAGCTTTGTGTGACTCCAGCTTAATATAATTAATAAAATTTAAGTACCACGTCGCTTCGGTGATTGACTATCATCTACTGTGTGTGACAAGTGATTGTTGCAATAGTTATTGAATTCCCTCTCGTCGACGAAAACAGAACCATCCGCGTTGACAATGGATTCGACTATCACCGACGGATCGCCGCTCTCCATTACCAATTCGCCTACTATTTCTCCGTCGGCCGCTATTATGTCACCTTCATTATTCGCTCTCAATAATTCACCCTCATTAGTATTAATCTCATCGACTACTTCCTCTTGTGTCAGTTGACTACTGTAAGAATCTTCCCCGTCATTTCCCTCGTTCACTTCTAACTCTGTCGATAATCCCTAAGGCGAGAAAAAATTATTTCATTTATAATACTAATACAAATAAATGTCTAAATTCTAAGCAGAATCGTAAGGCTCGTAACATATTCCTTGTAAGAATTTTTAAGTGCTTATATCTTTATACAATATTTTTACAGACAGCTTCTTACTAGCCATAAAATTTACAAGAAATCATAGATATTTTCGAATAATAATCGTACGTCTTATGATACATATGTATAAAATTAGAATACTAATCATAGTTTTTACAAGTTTTACGAGAACACATTACGAGTCTCACGATTCTGCTTCGAATTGACTCAAAAGAGAAAATTATAAGTATGTCTTACGTCTTGACTCCAAGTGGATTTCTGCTCCTTCTTCATTCTTTTTAGAGTCTGCGCTATTTCGTCGTCAGATTCGGGAAACTTTTTTCTATTACCACCTCTGGTCTGCATTTTTTCGATATTGCGAATCTTTTCAAATAATTGATATGCTCGTTCCGGTGTGATATCTTTTTTATCTTTATTAGCTGCAGCTATGTTAAACAAATCTTTGGATCGCAGTTCCTTATTAGTGCGTAATCGCACGTACTCTTTCAATCTTTTACGATCAACATGCAACTGCATGAGATCTTGGACATCTTGTCTAATTTCGCCACAGAGCTTTCTCTCCTGAGGAAGTCTCTTAAATAGATCCTATTTACAAAATATTTTTTTAATGTAATGTAATCTTAAAAAAATTCCGTCACTTTTTTAGAACTACAAAGTTTTTAGTACATGAAAGATCCGATAGACTGCAAGTGAATATTGGAAACAAAATGCACTATAAAACATTACTTATACACAGAAAATTGAAAAGAAGGTGCCATAACATGTGAAAATAACTAGTGAAAAATACTGAGTACTCTAATCTGTTATTCGTGCTGGTATGAATTTTAACTTAAAACAAAGGCTGTATCTTTTCCGAAAGTCTGGTGTATCTTTTGTTATAATTCTAATTGTGTGTGTAAGTTTAAATTTATATAGCATGCAAGCATGAATGATTGAAGTTATACTTCAGTACTTATTTTCAATTTTTACAATATTATAGTACCTTCTTTTCAATTGTCTATATTTGAATAAACTCTGCAGTGCATGAACGTCTTCAATGTTACTGGTACTGTAACGCAATCTGTCGGATCTTTTGCACTACATACAATAAATTTTGTATTTTGAAAAAACAGAATTTCTTTAAATACATTGAACATTAAAAATTGTAATACAGGATACTAAATTTTTAATTCAAAAGTAAAACAGAATGCTCTTTTGTTTTCTTTTCTATTTAGTTCTCCATGTAATATCTACATCTTTTTCTAGTTCTTTCTTTTAATTCTATTACTCTCTCTTTTAGTACAATAGACTACTTTATATTTAATATAAAATTACATTTTATATTTAATATAATGAAATAAATTGATAAAATATGTACCTCTGAAATTTCATGATTGTGTTCATTATTAACACTAGTCACTTCTAATTGTGTGCCTTCTTTAGTCGCTCTGACCATAATGTGAGCAGGACAATTTGTTCGTATGGACCTATAAAACACATGTAAGAATGCAGAAAGAAGAAATAAATTATGTCAAAGCTAGATAAATATTAATACCAACATATCATTAATATACATTGGCTACATTTAGCAGAATGTTTATTTTGCAACTGTTGGAAGTTTTCTTCGCACTGATTGAATTACACTTTTCTAGTTCTAGAGGAATGGTCCTAACTCTGCAGACAATCATAAAACAGTTGAAAAACTGTTATGTTCTGCTGAACACAGCTATTGTTTAATGAAACGATTAAAGACTCACTGAGATTGTCTCCTACCAGCACCACGAGGAAGGAACTTCTGGCCACCATAGATACACGCATATTTGACGGAATAATACTTCAATCGCTCGCTGATTGGCCGTGCGGTTTTCATATGGGCTCCGCTCACAGTTCTACTGTCTCGTCTCCAGTAATGCACCAAAGTATGTTTCGAAACTCTGTCCAACTTCTGCTCCAGTTCCTCATAGCTGTCAAACACCTCCCCCAGGTGAAAGGACATGTCCCCAATGCTCATATTCATCGTGAAAACTGCAGCTAACAATCTGTATAACAAGAGAAACAGTTTACAATTGATCTCCAATAGAGATTCACAATTTTTCTTCAATGCGAGACAACATTTTTACCGTCGTCATCGTCGAATGTGATCTGCTCGCCTAGAGAGAATACGACGTGGATTTCTTGAAAGAATCTAACTCGAAGGTCGTGATACCGAAATTAGAATGGAGATTAGCGTAACAATTGTAAACTAGAAAAAAGTCCGACCATCAAAAAGTGTCATCGTCGCCGTCGCTCGATCGACCAAAGCTCAACTCGACGACGACCGAGCCAGATCGAGCGCAACGCGGACTTGAGCATCATTCGCTGAGAGTCGGAGTGAGGTTATATTATGCCTACCGTGTTAACGATTGGCGTGGTAGAAGCCAATGAAGTCACGTCGGAGACCGTGAACACAGACAGATCGAAATCTCTCGGCGGTGAACCGAACCGAACGAGCAGGCGACTTTCCGGTGGATTTGTCACGACATAATGGTGATCGATGGCGATTCGTCGAACGGATACATACCGCGATGATCACGTTGCTATATTTTCGAAGCGGACGGAACCATCGAGATGACGGCATCCGAAATCTTTTGAGACCCTCTACGAATGTTCCAAGAGAAGATATCGAATGCCTCTTTGGCCTCTTGGATGTCGCGCAAAGTCTTTTAAATCTTTGCGTCGTCAGAAGCTTAGCATTGGTCGCTTTCAGCAGATTTAAGCGGAGTGGATCCGTGAACGCTCGCTATACAGTAAAAAACATTTTGTGTTAAATTTTTAACATATCCGACTTTTAATTTAACATAATATAATTGTTTTATTTGAATATTTTGTGTTAAATTAAAATTTAATATTTCTCATTGTTAAAATAACACAATTTATAGGTAAGTAAACAAATAACATAAAAGTAATGTAGTTTTAAAACAAATTCTAAGAATATAAATGAATAAAATGTGTTGTTGATTTAGGGAGCTTTTTAACAAGCGACACTGTGCGACACAGCGATCACCTCATCCTTGTTTAACATTGGCGAACAACAAGAATACAACGATGCACCGTGTCACACCGTGTCACTCTCTGTGTCTCTTGTTGGAAAGCTCCCTTAACATATCATAAATGTTAATTTACAGGGTATTAATCATGAAACTTTTTTCCCTAGGGTGAAAAGTGAAAAGTGAAAAATTTCTTCATTATAACTTCAATGGTAAAAATTTTCACTTTTCACTTTCCATCTTAGAGATAAAGTTTCATGATCGATACCTAGAAGAAATATGTTCCATACAACTAGTCACATATTTTATATGTAAAAAGATGCAGATATCTTGTGTTATTTTCTCTTTGTAACAGTAAATATCTGTTAAATCTATATATTTGCATATGTTAAATATCACAGAGGCATTGCCTAAACTGAAAATGTAAAAATAGCATCTAATTTCAGTAAAATTTAATATTATAAATGTGTCAATGGCTACGTTTACACCGTGCATTTAGGCCGCGGCGTATACGATAGATGTCCTTGTTTAGCCTGTATATTAAATAAAGACACCTATCGTATAGGTCGCGGACTAAGCGCACGGTGTAAACGTAGCCATTTTAACATAAAATTTGTTTTTAAATTGTGTCAAAATAAATTTTGTGTAAGTGTCCGGACATAGGTACACTGGGACGTTCATCTTAAGTCCGAATATACAATAGGTGTTTTAAGCCTTAAGTCGTAAGAAATTGACCAATCACAGTCGAATTTGAGGAGAATAATCGACTATGATTCATCCATTTCTTATGGCTTAAGGCTAAAAACTCTATTGTAGATCCGGGGTTACAATCGAATCTGAGACGAATAATTGACTGTGATTCGTCCATTTCTTATGGCTTGAGGCTTAAAACTCTATTGTAGATCCGGGATAACGAGGTTGTAAGAGCATAAAACACATATATTAATATTTATGCTTTAAAGAAACTACATACATGTGAAAGTTGTGTTCACATAACATTCTGTTTTTATTGAGCAACACATTTTTATAGTTTATTTATTTTATTTGATATTAGTTTTACTGTTATAAACAAAAATTTTAAAAATAATAACAAAAATCTAAATTTTTAATATAAATATTTTAAGTTCTAACAATGACTTATGCAAAGTTTCATTGAGATTCACCAAATAGTTTATAACAAATTAATATTTTGTTTATTTACTGAACAATTATCTGAACAATTGTCTGCATCTCAATGTAACTTTACATAAATATTTTTGATAAAGTACTTATTCACTCATCATAAAGTACTTAAATTTTTCATAAAATACTCTTATATTAAAAAATTGAGATTTTTATCATTATTTTATAATACATTTTCATATATTTCTGTTAGAATACAAATTAAAAAAAATATTACTTTTATTAATAATAAACTTTTGATGTCTAATGGTAAAGTCTAAGTCTCTAATTTTTTTGTATTACTTTTAAATGCAATTTAGAATAACCTGTAATTTTCTCAAGTAATTCTCTTAACATATTGCATTTGCCTTACAACCTCCTTACAGTGTCTATCGCATTTTCCTGGGAGAAGAATTTTTTCGATAAAAAAAGTTAGTCCTTTATTCCATATAAAAATACATATTTTGATATCTTTCTATATTTATACGGAAAATACAAAGATTGCAAACAGACTTTTAAAAAAATACTCTGTATCCGTTAGTAACATTCGACTACTCATTATAATATAAAAACAACGGTTCAACAAAAAAAAAACACTTTATTATGACATATCTGTATTGAAAACAAATTTTTGATAACCATACAGTGATAAACAATATTCCTATTGCAAATGTCTGTAAACGTTTTGTCCTTTGATAATTTTTGCTGATAACTAGTTGTGCACGTTGTCTAAAGCGAGCAGTGACGTTTTCACCGTTAACATGAATTCTCGTTTCTGCATATTTATTCTTCTCTATTTCGCGGGTAAGTATTCATATTGCAAATTTTGTAAATATTATCTAAAATTATGAAATCTAACAGGATATTTGCATTACGGATCTTTGAACAATGAAGTACAAAGGATCATTAATGGATTAGACACCAATATTAATTTAGTTCCCTATGTGGTAAGGACGAAAGACTATATATCTATATCAAGTTTAAAATGTTAATGTAAATAAATGCATATTGCCGTTTGTAAGTATTTTGAGAACGCTTGCCATATTTTCGCAATTTATAAAAATTTAAGTACTTACAATTAGTGAAAGTAATCGTAAAGAAGTTTTCAAAAATGTTTTAAAAAGGAAAAATTGAGTTTAAAATTGCTATTTGAACTTTGTCTTCGATGATATGATATTTCGTTCCTAAATTATATGTACATACATTGACAATTGATATTGATAATTGAAAATTGGTATGTCTCAATACTTCCGTTATATTTTAATGCGCCGTGTCTAGAAACACAATCGGGTAAAATTTAATCAAATGCACTTTAAAGTGATCTTTCTAAGCTTTAAAATGCTTTTTGAAAAAAAAAACGGTACGAAGATTTTTTACAAAAGTATCAAATTTTTTTGTATAAAGACCTACTTTTTTTGAAATATTTTTAAACTTCAAAAAGTTTACAGAAGAAATAAAAGAAAAATGTTTGTTATAATGTGTGTGCTTAATTTATAAAAACTTTTTCAAAATTTTTTAAGAACTCATTTCTACCATCATATAATTATTCGATATTAAAAAATTATGTTTGACCCACTTTTTATGGTTATACTTTACAACAATTGGCGTCAATTAAAATCCCATACCAAATTAAATAATAAACAATCGTAATGGTACTATCTTTAATTCTTATACTATAAACCTAAGTATACATATATTCGTATTCCTAAAGAAGGATCTTTCTATTCCGATCCAAATAGCTTTAATTCTTCCTATATGAAATTTTTGTATCTCAACTTATTCAAAGACATTTTCTCTTCCAACCAAAGTAGTAGTTAATCAATTCTCCTCCAAAATACTATTCAAAACTTTATCACGAAATTGCATTACCTTGTCCATTCAAGTATTACCACAAAAAATTAAAAAAGTAAATACTTGACACTGCTAGATGACATGACAGTAACATAATACTAAAAACATTAATATAACATCACATACGTAGTTAACTTTAAATATGAATAATATATTTTTTTATATCATACCGAGAGTGATTGCTATAACGCCTGCTACCTTTTCGTTTGACTAAACTAATATGTCCTAAAATATGTAAAAAATATTCAAATTTCAGATTGGTCAAAATTAGCGCGATTAAGATTATATACGTAGTAAGACATTTTTGTTCTTTTAGTTGTCGCTGAGGTTAAAGGATAACCATGTGTGCTGTGCTGCTATAATAAACAAGGAATGGGCTGTGACAGCAGGTCACTGCATGAAAATGTGAGTAAAATAACAAATTTAGAAATAATGGTTTGTTAATCTTTATTAAAAAGATAATAAGAAACAATAATAATGAGAGGACATTGAACCACAGTCGCATGATTTCAGTGGCGAATAATTTTACCAATCATTTAATATACATATGTACAGACGTTTCGGCCTAGATTAGGCCATCTTCAGTATAGATACAGAGTTTACCAGTTGGTTAATGAAGTTAAAACGCAATGTGTTACATAATTAAAAATTGGAGATTATTCGTTAGTATGTATGCTAAATAGATATATAAAAGAATCTTGATAGTATTTCCTTGTTTTTCACGTGTCCTAATATTACATATACGTCTAATTACACAAAAGTAAAATCATATTAAAAATATTTTTCGCTTGTATGCGTACAATTTAGAAGTGAAGTTATGGATGTTTGAATCTAATAGGTTTTCTTTACCTTAATATGAAAATTTAGAGAATAACAATTATCTTGCTAATTGAGCGTCATTTTTTTCCTGAGCCAATGGAAAACTTGTTAGACGCGAGAGTTTCCAAGCTCTATTATTTTAAGCTTAATACTTATATGAATATCATTATCTGATAATATTTCATGCATTTTTCCTTGTATTCATTTATGTTCATTGAAACTATTGAATTACCTTTATCTGCACATGTAATTAGATGGGATTTCCACTATCACCGATCCTGGCTGATATAGTCATTCAAGATTTAGAGAGGGATATTTTTGCTAATATATCAACGTAAATATTCCAATATAGATATGTGGATGATGTTTTGCTCGCTATACCGGAAAATCAGATATTTCCAATGCTTGACTCATTCAATTCTTATCATGAAAGGTTAAAATTTACAGTTGAACATAGAGAGGATGGTTCGATTAACTTTTTAGATGTCAAATTAAAAATAGGGGAAGGTTGCATCATATTTGACACATATAAGAAACCAACAAATTTCGATAGATATTTAAGTTATAAGTTGAACCACCCTCTAAAACACAAGAGAAGAGTAATAATCGGATAGCTAGATAGAATACTGTTTCTATCACATTCAAAATTTCATTACAAAAACATTGAAGGTATGATTAACATATATACTATTAAACAACGGGTATCCTTTAGCGGTTATATTTTCCATCATTAATAGCAGAATAAAAACTTTATCTAATAAAAATGATTTTTCTCTAAACCATATTTTAAAAAAAGATCCATTTCTGAAATAATTTTTATCAAAAAACAATCCCACCCTCTTAATAAACAAAACGACACTAACAAATTATCAGATTCATATCTTCCTCTCCTTAATATCATTTCCTCTACCACAAAATCATTTTATAATAGAGCTTGGAAACTCTCGAGTCTAACAAGTTTTCCAATGGCTCAGGAAAAAAATGACGCTCAATTAGCAAGATAATTGTTATTCTCTAAATTTTCACATTAAGGTAAAGAAAACCTATTAGATTCAAACATCCATAATTTCACTTCTAAATTGTACGCATACAAGCGAAAAATATTTTTAATATGACTACTTTTGTAATTAGACGTATATGTAATATCAGGATACGTGAAGAACAAGGAAATACTATCAAGATTCTTTTATATCTATTTAGCACACATACTAACGAATAATCTCCAATTTTTAATTAAGTGTTAATGTAACACATTGCGTTTTAACTTCATTAACCAACTAAACTCTGTATCTATACTGAAGATGGCCTAATCTAGGCCGAAACGTCTATACGTATGTATATTAAATTATAAAATTATTCGCCATTGAAATCGTGCGACTGTGGTTCAATGCCCTCTAATTATTATTGTTTTTTATTTTATAACCACTAAAATTATATTTATATTTACTTGTAAAAAGATAATGTATATTATAGAACTGACGATCCTATGAAAGAGATTACCTTGTGTAGTGGATCTTCTATTCTTTATGAGAATTGTACCGTTCATAACATAATCAACTTTTTCATACACGAAAACTTTGACAACGACATCAATGACTATGACATCGCTGTTATGAAAGTAACACCTGCATTCATATATAATGAGCATACGAAAGCGGTTGACTTGGCATCAAACGAAAATGTTCATAGGAAATGGGGTACAGTCTGCGGTTGGGGGTACTATCGGGTAATAATAAAGTATTCCGACTTAAAATAATATTGGCATTTAAATTATTGCCATTTTTTTAATTTTTAGCTTAACATCTACAGGATGTTCGGTAACGATTCTTTCGTGAGCATGGGAACTTAACGCGGGGAAACGTTCTCTTTTGCCGCTTGTGTGGCAATGGCTTTGCCATTGCTTGCAGTAAACAACTCTTCGCGCAATTAATCAAACTACGAGATTGGACGATCGTAAAGATCCTCAAGTAAGAGATTGGGCACGTTTGGTATAATTATATTTTTTAGGACCTGCTTAAGAGAATCCCAAAATTGTCTGTTTTACTGACTAAACGTGTATAATTTTTGTGACATACTATCTTGATCAAAAAGTTCCCGGAATTACCACCAGGTGATGCTCTGAGTCAGCTAATTTGAGTTCTGTTTTTTTGGTTAGGTTGCCACATCTATCATTGATATTTCCACCAAATTTTATCGCCATAGCTTGACATTTGTAAAAGTTACGCCGTCTTGAGTACATCTATCTCTGCACGTGTTTTCGATTTTTTACAGTTTTAAAAATGGAGTTGAATTTGCAACAACGAATTTGTATTAAATTTTTTGACCAAGAACGAAACGAATACCATCCAACAGCCATCGAATTCACCCGATATGGCTCCCTGTGATTTTTTTCTGTTCGATCGAGTCAAAAAACCATTACTAAGAGGTAATGGAAAAATCGAAGACGGTTCTGATGGTTATACCGACAATAGAGTTCCAGAAATGTTTCGAGAGCTAGATCAAGCGCTGGCATAAGTGCTTTGCAGTCGATGGGGAGTACTTTGAAGGGGATAATATCACTTTTGATGAATAAACTTGTATTTTGAATTTTCTGAATGAATTCTGGGAACTTTTTGATCAAGATATTTTTGTATGTATGTAACTGTCTGACTTTTTGCGCGGGATAGCTCGTCAGAATTATTACGGTCGATCAGGAAACGAAAAGAGGTTCGTAGCGGAGAGAGAGAGAATATAGCAATAAAACGAGATGCGTACGTATGGAACAGTAACGAAGTATTTACTGTGTGTTTGACTATGATACAATGCGAGTGTGCATGCGCGCGTGTGTGTGTGTGTGTATATTACAATAGCAGGTGTGTGTATATGCGTGTATCGCGATCGAACTCGTCGCAGTGCGATGTCGCGAGGCGCTGTTACGTGGTTGATACGCCGTAATATAGATAAAATATCAAAGATTCGAATTCTGTCTTCAGAACAGACTTTATCTAAAGAAGATACGACTGACAAGCTTAACTAAGAACGGCTAACGGGAGTAGACTTAATCTAGATTAGAAGGATTTTCACCTAGACAAAAAGGGTGGAGCTTTGTTGAAGATTAACCAATGAGATGACATGCTCAAGTACCCAAAAATATGCGTAATAAAGAGAAACGGGAACTGAGGTACGTGAGTTTTTGTAACTCAGGAATTCGTAGACTGGTCATAAAATATTTGTAGGTCGAATATTCAGAAAGGAACAAAAGGGTAGAAAAAAAATGGCCAAACGGATATTGGAAACGAACAAGGAAATAATTGGAACAAGGTTTGTCAGGGTCATCTTGACAAAAACTTTATGTTAGAAAGTTATTAAAACGTGTTTGTAACGGCGATACTGTAACTTTCAAGCTCTATAACTCGAAAAGTACTTCATGAAAAAATATTTTATTATAGTGTTTTGGAAAGCTCTGGAGGTGTGCTATAAGAATATGCAATGAAAAATGGGGGATTCCATTTAAAAAATTCATGTTGACCTTGACCTGACCTTGGTGTCTCCTATTCAAAATCCGTTATTTCCACCTTCTTTCTCCCAAGAAAACCTACAACTTTTATATAAAACTTTTTCTTGTATCTCTTTTAGTTTCTGAGATTCGCCTGGGGCGATTAAAATGCCTCATCTGTATATGTGAACATACATGCATATATACCATATTTGTAGTCATTCGAACTGCGCGCCGAATTGATTTTTCAGACTTAATAAACGCAATTAAAGTATTGTAGTAATGTCACGAATTAAATTGACAAGCAATTTTAATAATTTAATGCTCAATCAGGCATCCTATTAGAAAGATGTTGATATGCTGGAAAGCTGTAAATAAAGGAGGATGTTAAAAAGAGGCCGATTTTTGTCCACAAAGGTATAAGTAAAAGGAATAGCGTTTTTTAATAAATTTTGACCTCTTGAATACGATAATGTTAATAAAAAGTTCGGGATCGATAGGGAACATCTCGAAAATTAAGCATAAACATGATATATTTAAAGAAATTTCAATATTCTTGTTTACTTTTCAAGGTGTTCCTCACATGTCACGAACTTCGATCCAGATGCAATCAGAGCTGCTATCACAAAGCAGCCTCCCAATGCCTACATTTCAGTATTTCTACCCCATTCAGTTTAGCTATATAAAAAACGCAGCACAACGCAATTTTTTTTTAACAAAGTAATTGTGCTAACTTTACGTACATCAGTAAACCGGACGAATTTGACGATTCTTAGTAATTAATGTTTTCCATAACGGTTGTGAAAATTGTAAAATGTAAATGATTTTAGACTTAGTTTAGTCCGCTGTACCTGCTCACGGAAGGTGATACAGTCATTACCGGACATCCTATATACAAAAATTTAAGCTTCTATAAAATGTGCAGAAAGTCCAAGGTGTTATCGATCCAGTTCTGGCGAAAACTCTACAGTGTGTAGTAGTACCACGAATAAATAAATGGACATGCCAAAAAGATTATGCAAACAGATATATAGTGACATCTCGAATGACATGTTATGGATTTCAGGAGGGGGGCTTAGACGCTTGTCAAGTAAGATATAAATGCAATCCAATATTTATTATTTATATTCATTATATCATACGTTCTATATACAGAGAGAAGCTTGAGAAGGAACTGGTCATTCCTTTTCGGTTTCTGTCAATTTTCCGGAGTTATCAAAATTGTCCGTACACGCATTAATACATCTATTTTCGATTTATGCAGCTACATACTATTGATGAAATCTCTCTCAAAAATAGATATGTATACGTGCTAATCCGTGCTATATTCTCAATTGTGGATTTTAATTTGTTTTTGTAAGTGTATCACGAACTCGCATTTACGTTTATTTTTGACAACCCGATTTTTTCTTTTGCTTCTTCTTATAAACCGTAAATTTCAGACTCATTTTCAGATAAGTCTTACAAGTAAACCTACCCAAATGTTACACACCGATTTTGATGAGTTTTTGGTATGTTGTTCTCCAGACAAAAATAAGCGACAGGTATTTTTTTATACATACCTTTAATACGTTTTTATTCGTACCCATATGCACTTTTAAGGGATGAAACACCCCTTTGAAAAAAATCGGTTTCTCTCTTTCGAAGCGAATCTTCGAAACTATAAGAGGTAGAAAAAAATTTCTCCAATTAAAATTGAATGGTTTCAAGAGTACTTTATAACTATAATAAAAAAATATTTTTCTTTATAAATAAACAGTTTTTATTATAAATAATTAAAAAATTTTTTTTATTATATAATAGTTATAAAGTATAGTATAACACTTGGGTATAGGTTTACTTATTAGTACCATGCAGTGCAAAACTTAAAGGGTGGATTTCCAAGTGAAAGAAATTCAATCAGTTGGCCCAATCTAACTGACAATCCTTCTGGAAAAAGAGTTCGTAATGCATATTTTGCAAGAAATCTAAGAAAAGAGAGACCTCTTAGACTAAAATTTAACAGCAACATCATAACTATAACTTACAATACAAAATAACTTTATTCTCATATAAAAATCTTAATCTCATATAAAAATTTAACAATAAATAATTACGTCTTTTAAAATCCAATTAAATAAGAAAAACCCTATATTCGGTCAAAGCGAATCTTACAAGGGAAGTTTCACAACTGTCCGGAACCGATTTGATTCTCCATGAAATATGTTGTTAAACGCGAAAATCTAAGAGAGAGACACGTATTTTTTTATATGTGCCCTAACTCATATTTAAGGGGTGAAACACCTCTTTGAAAAAAAACGATATTTTTCTTTCGAAGAGAATATCGTCGGAAGTATAAAAGGTAGGAAAAAATTTTATAAATAAAAGTTGTACGATTTCAAGAGTGCTTCAATGTTGTGAAGAAAAAATTTTTTTTAATTTTTTTGTTTAACAATTGTTTAACAACATATTTCATTGAAAATCAAATCGGTTCCGGACAGTTGTGAAACTTCCCTCGTAAGTCCACACAGAACAAAAATTTTTTCGAAAATCCGGCGTTTTCTTGAGAATTTTGGTGGCTCCCTGAAGAGTTCCAACGGTCATCCTTAATAACCGATGCGCTGGAACCAATATCTAAAAGTTCTTAAGCTTTGAAGTTTTAACTTTTGAATTTTTCTAAGTCTACACAGGTTAAAAGTTTTTTTTCGGAAATCCAGTGTTTTCTTGAGAGTTCTGGTGGCCCCCCGAAGAGTTCTATCCTTAATAACTGATGTGCTGGAACCAATATCTAAAAAGTTCTAGAGCTTTGAAGTTTCAGATTTCGAATTTCTCTACTTCAGGGCGCTAGAACTTTCTTGTTTGCAGTCTCAACTATTTGATTATTAAGGATAATCGTTAGAACTCTTTGGGGGGCTATCAGAACTCATAACAGAAATCCAAAAAAAAATTTTTTTTCAGAAAATTTTTTTTTTGAAAAAATTTTTTCAGAAATTCGGTGTTTTCTTGAGAGTTCTGATGACCCCCCCCAAAGAGTTCTACCGATTGTCTTATATGGATTAAGGTGCTAAAATGAATCGTAAAGAAGTTATAGCAGTTCAAAGTTTCAGAATCGTGAAGTTGGCCCCCCTAATATTTTAAACCAGGGCTGCAGTCGAGTTGCACATTTCGACCGATTTTGTCTATCGTCATCCCCACCCTTTTGTTTCATGGCATTTGTTTCATGGCAGATCGTGTGCGGAGACATAAAACGCTCGAACTCAGGGATAATATTAACCGTAACTCATACAGGGCACTATAGGGCTATAGGACTTTGAAACATATTGCCTCATATCCACTGATGTTTATAAATTTTTATTATAATAATAATAATTATTATTATTATTATGTTAGAAACATTCTACGATAGTAACTACGCATGTGTTCAGATGCGGTAAATTGAACTCAATTTGCTGGGAGATGAGAATACTCCTTAGATAACTACTCTCAACATGCCTATCAAGCGGCCACAATGTGACCTACTCAGAGGTATCAACATTAATGCGCGCGGCAAACACAGACAGGCTATCACTCATAAACAACAATTAACAACGTAAATTATGTACAGGAAATAAAGAATATATATACAATTTAAGAAATATATACGGTAAGAAAAGCATAAGATGCAAAAAAGAAAAAAAGCACAATTGAGATAGAACACTGGAAACAGTAAATAGAATCAAAGGGAAAAATAAAGTTGCAAGGCATAGATAAATCTAATGAATCAAAATAAATAAAATTTATGCACGAAAACACACCGACTCCGTACCTCTAGAAGACAAATCTAGTTGAGGTATTCGGATGAGTCTACGACTCTAAACAGTATGTGGCTTCAACCAATATAATCCAGCATGTGGCGTACAATCTGCCTCCAAAAAAGGATTCCATCTAATAAGTCGTCAACAGGTATCATATCTCGTACTTAGATAGCATAAGAACATCAGAAAGAAGACCGAGGTCTCTCAAAGCACAGAAGCAGGATCGACGACAAATTTTAAAGATGGCGGTCGAATAATCTGACAGGATAAGAGTCATGGAAATACCTCGATTTTATTGCCAATAACTACGGGTTAATTCCCAAATCGAAAATAGGTGTATTGGCGCTGATGTACGCGTATTTCGGCGGTTCCACGAGAAACGCCGGGATGGCCTCTCTCAAGTTTCTCTTTGCTATACATCATTATTCATATAATACAGGGTGATTCGGGAGGGCCAATAGTGAATACTGACAATATCCTCCTCGGTATAACTTCGTGGGGAGACGGTTGTGCTGAAAAGAATTCGCCTGGTGTATACACAGATGCAATATTACTTCGATATTGGATTAGAAGTAAAACCGGCATGGAAAGTTAAAAAATTTACTGTTGTAATGTATGTATAAATACAATTAATTAAAATTAAAAGAAATAATGTTAAAAATGGCTATGAGCCAAATACAATAAATTCAATATTAATGATATATAGATATTAATACATATCATTTAATGATATGTATTAATGATATGTATTAATGATATTAATACATATCATTAGTACTATTAAAATACATATTAATACATATCAAACAAAACTTCCTTCCCTAGTCATTGAAAAGATAACACAATGTTTGCCAACGATTAAAATAAACGAAAACAACTTGCATATTCCTCATAATCTAGATTCGATAGATCCGAGTTATTATATTCTCGGCGACATAGATCTATTGGTCATCCGTTTAGAGCGTCCGTTTTTTGGGAGCTTCTAGGAGCAAACAGATTAAAACTTCAAAAAAGGCGCCTATACTCCAGGAAACATCTTTAGGTTAGACTATTTCAGGCAACGTGCAGGCAAACTGCACACATCAACGCCAGACATACTGCGGTGTCTCTACTAGTACAGCAATTCAAACGCAATTGGAGAAATTCTGGTATATAGAAGAAGTAATCCAACCAACCTGCCATTCACAGGAAGAAATCCAATGTGAGGAGTATTTTGTTATCACTCACTCCAGGAGTGCTGAAGGTCGCTTCGTAATACAACTTCTGTTCAAATATTTGTATAAGTATTTTAAGTATTAAAAATGACATATGCAAAATTTCATTGAGATTCACCAATTAGATTGTAACAAATAAATATTTTATTTATTTACTAAACAACTAATGTCTACATCTCAATGTAACTTATTTACATAAATATTCTTAAATTTATAAAGTACTTGTATAAAAAAATTGAGATTTTTATCATTATTTTATAATACATTTTCATATACCTATTTCTATTAGAGTACAAATTACAAAAAATATTACTTTTTATTGAAATAACTTTTGATCCAGATGGTAAGCTATCCCTAATTTTTTTGTATTACTTTTAAATGCAATTTAAAATAATCTGTAATATTTTCAAGTAATTCTTAACATATTCTATTTGCCTTATAACCTCCTTAAAAATACAATATATTTCTTGTGTTCATCATATCCCTTCTTTTTCTCCATTATTTGTTATCCTACGATTAAAATTTGCATACATGGTGATAAAATAATTTATTTACAGGAACAAACTTTGTTTACAACCGTATTTAATGCAGGCTGGTTGCTCTTATCTAACAAAGGCAATTATAATCAATTTAAGCAGCGAGAAAGTGACGTACTTATCGCGATTCAGGAGACAAATACAATGCCCGTTATTCGAGGTGCCAATTAAATTTCTCGACTTTCTCTGAAATTCTTATATGTAGGTGCTTAGTTGGATATTACAGTTTGCTGCATGATATATAGACCATGTAAACAGTGTTTCTGGGTATATTAAAACTGGACATCTTAGACACGCAGAAGTTAGTTGACATCCTATTAAGTGAAATTCACGGTTCTCCTTCGAAAATTCTTGTGACATTTCGACCTTCCGAAGAAGCTGTGTGATAAGAGCTTAAAGGAGTGATATTTAATCCGCAACAAAATAACGAAATTTAAATAAACGCATCATTTTTTCGACATACAGAAACATTGGAAATTCTAAAATGATAAAAATTCAGTCATTAATCACGCTTTCGATGTGCTACATCATTTTTCATACTTACGTCGATGCCTGGAATAATATCGATAAGCACAAAATCGTGAATAGAAAACAATTGTGGCAAACAAACGATAACGGATCTGCTTTTTCCGCCGCTGCAAAACGAAAATGGGAATCATTAAAATTTCCGAATAATCGCATTCAGATTGCTAGGGAGAAAAGACGTGAGTAAGACTGTAATTTAAATATCATAGCTCGAAAAAATCTAAAGAAAATGGAAATTATTCTTTACGATGATTATATTCAATACAATCTTGTTTTGTATCAAAATTCTGAGAAATGTAAAATGTTCTAGAAACAATTATTTAACATAATTTATTATGTTAAATATGGAAACCGTTTTTTACTCTGAACTCGATTAAGTACATCATTAGAAATTTAATCTTCAAAAAAGGTAGATACTAGCACTAACAACGTAAATACTGGCATCAAAATTGTTAAAACCTATAAATAAATCTATTATTCCATAATAAAATTATATTAGCATATTTTAGAGTCACAAATAATTCAATTCATCGAATACTGGATTTGAGTCATCTGCACAGAAAAAAATATTATATTGAGATTTAGTTTGCAAGAGATGGCACTAATGTCAGTGTTGTCAAAGACATTCCAATCACAGCAATTATTTCTTAATGCTTTAATACATATTACTCCATGATATTTAGTTTACTAACAATAGACGCAGTAAACATCGTGTTTATACTATTTAAAAAAATGGAGCTTTTTAAAGAGCATTTTCGACATGCGTTACTTTTGTTTGTTAATCAGAAGAAAATGGCGGTTGAAGGTCATAGAATTCTGATAGAAACTTATGGTAATGTTGCTCATCAATTAAGACATGTGAATATTGGTTCTGTCGATTTAAAAGTGGTGATTTCAATATTAAAGACCAAAGCTGAAAAACAGATTTGCAAGTATTATTGGACGAAAATCCAGCGTAATCCACTTTATAACTTATCAGAGAATTAAATGTTGATCATACAGCAGTTATTAAACGTTTACGTGATGTTATTTAAATAAATCAGTTTTTGAAGAAAAACCCTCAAAACTAAATCACACTCCTAATATTAATGACAGTTAACAGCAGTTTAGTTGCAAATAGTCTTGTTAATTTAATGACAGCTTTTACAAAAATTTTTCATCGCTTTTACATCTCAAATGGACCCGTTTTTAACCCGTTTTTAGCCTGTTACTGCTCGTTTCTTGCACTCGCAAGCACTATATAAGCACTATACAATCATGAGTATTTTTTAATGAATTGTCCGTTTCCAGTACTCGTTTTTTCGCTATGAATATTTTTGAGTGGATTATCCGTTTTCAATACTCGTTTTTCAGAAGAGTGAGAACACGTAAATACGTCCTCTTTTACTAATACTCTTTTACTAATACTAATTTATTTGAGTAAGAACAAAATATACAATATGATATTACATGTGTATACAGTGTTCTCACTGTTCACGTTGGTGAAATTTGACAACGGCATCTGCGACGGATTGAACGGGGAGAACGGCACATGCGTTGCGGCAGCAGAATGCGGACAGCGCGGAGGTATCTTCAGCGGCGTTTGCGCAAATGGTTATGGAGTCTGTTGTATAAGTAAACAAACATCAGATTGAACGTTTAGTCATTTTGAAGAAATCTCTTAATCTGCATTTTTACTCCATTCTCTAATAGTTACGGTATCCTGCAACGGGATGACTACCGATAACAACACGCACTTTGTCAATCCAAATTATCCGTCTACCTTCGACGGTATGGAATCATGTCAAGTGACGATAGTAAAATCAGATCCAGATGTATGCCAATATCGGTATATATACACAGACATATATTATTAAGAATATTTAAAACATTAATGATATACTTGTTAATAAATTTATTCAGTTTATAATCATATATAATTTAAAAAATATTCAATATTATTTATATTATAAATCAATAAATAAAAGAAGAGCTACCAGCCAATTAAAATTTAAAGAATATTTAATATTCGTACAAACGTTTCGACGCCGATCGAGTCATTTTCAATGTAAAAACAAATAAATTATTTTTAAAAATCTTTAAAAATAATTTTTAAATAATATTAATATAATAATTATAATAATATTAATATAAATTAAGTTAATATAAAGTTAACATAAATATAATTTAATAAATATGATTTTATGAAGATATTGCTTTGCTCAGTCTCTCCCGTTTTTTTCATTGTAGATTAGACTTCGTACAATTCAATATCAGGGGACCGGAAACGGCGAATAATGTATGTGTTTACGATCAATTCATCGTTTCCGGTGGTAATCCAGTACCAACAATATGCGGTAACAATGATGGAAATCACAGTAAGTATAAAAAAGTGTTAGTTGCAGAGTTTGGAAGTAACTCGTCACTTATAATGAAGTTACAGTTAGAATTATCCTTAGAACATATACTACTGGAAAAGGAATAGGGCGCTGAATATAAAGCCATCTGTGCGAGAGAGAAATCTATACAGTCCCAAACATTCGTAATGCGCATGCGCAGCACCATCGTCTGTGTGAATGGTACAGTTGGTTTGGTGTTTCATATACATCTGTAACTGTACAATTCACACAGACGATGGTGCTGCGCATGCGCATTACGAATATTTGGGACTCTAGCTTTCTCTCTCGCACAGATGTTAGCTTCATGTCTGGGTGGCATGGGCAATTCCTCTTTCAGTGCAGTAGTACATGTTTTAAGGAATTATCTCAGTAACTGTGATTTAACATACAAGGGAACCTCGCAAAATGATACATTCTGATTTTAATAAAACTTTGTATACATATAAGGTACATGAAAAGACGAATTTAAAAAATATCAGTTGCGACATAAAAACAATTTTAAAGGATGAAATCACCTCTTATATGTAAGCGGTTTTTAATATTCTTCATAATAAGGGAGACCGAGGCAGTGATGGGAGGTGACAAGAATTCGTCTGCTCTAGGAAACTTTGTGCGCGTAAAGCTGAGCAGCCTTAACTGACGTATTTCATGGTGCTATAAGACCCCTAATAACGATGTTAAGAAAGTTGTAGGGAGAAAAGGAAGTTTTTATTAAAGAAACATAGTGTGTTATACATATTAAACATTATACATATACATATTACATATTGCCACATTTATTGCCACATTTATTGCCACACCGTGTACATATTAAGAAATTATTTAAAATATCTCACTTCGACCGTTAATAGGCTTTCTCATATTATAGTTTGATTTATTCAAATAAACAGTCCGAGTTCAAAATCTTAATATTGACGATGTTATTTAATAATATAAGTTGCGATTTGATTCTCTATACAAGCTAAATACTTTTTACAGTGTACATAGATACAGGAGTTGGACAAACCAATCCAGTTACTTTAACCTTCGTTACAAGTGGCAACTCTTTTTCACGATCGTGGAAGGTTCGGATCTCGCAAATACGATGCAATACGATATATCGAGCCGAAGAAGGTTGCCTTCAGTATTTCACCGGAGTTTCCGGTCAGATAAAATCCTTCAATTACGATCCCATGATTGGACTACAATTGTCAAATCAAGATTACAGTATATGCATCAGGATGGAGAGGAACTTTTGCGGAATCCAGTACATGGCGTGTTCTGACGACGGTATAAAAAAAAATGTATATATACATAGTACGTAATAAAAACAAGTAAACGTAAATGTTTGAATGTTCAAAGAGATTTTTCTAAAATTTGAAGTTAGATATCTTAGCAATGGTATTAATAACGACTTTCCATTGTTTTTCATGTTATTTTCATATATGACATCAAGAATTTATTTTATCCATTAACACCATTATGTCAGATTCTTTAAAACACGATTGTTTATCAACCAAAGATTGAAGTTTGTTCGTTGATGTTGGTGATAGATACGTCTGTGTTCTCTATCGATTAGTAAATCTATGTCTGTTTTGAAGTTTCTATTTATATATTTAAAAAAAAAATTATTTATAAAGATAATATTGACTTGATTGTTTCCCACAAATCGGAGTTCTTGATTATTGTGAGTTCCCTCGCCTCTCACAAATCGGGGTGCTTATTTATTGTGAGTACGTCACTTAATCTAGTCAGGTTAACTAGACTAACCATGAAGTCAACGAAATGCGTGATCAAGATCTAAGGAGAGCTAGGAGAGGAATTTAGTGTAGAAAAGGGATTGAAACAGGGCGACACAATGGCCCCGATATTGTTTAACCTGGTGCTGGAGAGCGTTATACGAAGAGTTGAGGTAGATATAAGTGGGGATCTTAGCTACAAGTCTAGGCAACTCGCAGGCTATGCAGACGATATCAATTGTCTCGCTAGATTCCTGTCCGAACTTGAGGAAACCTTTAAGGAATTGGATGGAACTGCGAAGGAGGTGGGACTGCGGATCAATGAAGACAAGACAAAAATTCTAGTCATGTCTAGAAAGCGGAAGGAAATAAGACAAACAATCTGCATAATTACAACACCGAGAGGAAGTATTTCTCGGTGTTGTAATTATGCACCAAGAATTTAAATACCTGGGGTCCATCTTAATGAGAGATAATGATGAATACAAGGATGTGAAAATGAGAATTAAGACGGCGAACGGTGCATACTATGCACTACTCCCAATCATGAAATCCAGGAATGTGCATAGAAACATTAAAGTGACGCTGTATAAAACACTAATACGTAGCGTTGTTATGTATGGGTGCGAGACGTGGTCAATCACGAGAAGAATTGCCGAAGACCTGAATGCATTCGAGAGGACGATTCTAAAGAAGATATACGGACCAATAGAAGAGGAGGATGTATGGAGAATCAGATATAACTAAGAACTATATCAATTATATGGAGCACCAAAGCTGTCGAACCACGTGAGAATTATGCGACTTCGTTGAGCCGAGTATGTGCAACGCCTAGACCAGAGCTGGGATTTAGTTGCACATTTCGGCCAATTCATTTTCAGCTTGGTTCCTGCCCCTCACTTCACTAACCCGCGCGCAGCCTAAATGCCGATCGGCATTATAACTCGAAAAGTACTTAATGAAAATGAATTTTATTATAGCATTTTGAAAAGCTCTTGACATCGACTATTAGATTCTGAAATCAAAAATATGGTGTCTGATCTAATTTTAAAAAATCGATGTGACCTTGACTTGACATTAGTGACGCCACACTCCAGGTTAAACTAATAATCATTAAATAGATCTTTTTAAACCCTACAACTTTTGTCTGAGACACATTTCTGTAAAACATATTTTCCGTAATATTCAAAAGTCGTGACTTTTTTTGAACACCCTGTACATACATATATAATTCTTTTACAGCTCAAGACACGATGGCTACTACATTAAGTACGACGAATCAAATAATGCGTAGCAACTCATTCACTCTGACGGGAAATACCCAAACCACGCAAATTATGTCGATGACAGGAACGTCCTGTATGACCGATTGGCTGTCAATACCGTGCGCCACAAATCTTGATCGATTACCATCGACGTCAATGACATGCGTCGATCGATTGTGTGGTGGTACCTTCAACTCGGAAACCCTGAACTTGAATAGCTCATCTGTTATTAGTGAGTCTGTTATTATTTTTATTCTGACGCTATCATTCTCTTTCTCTCTCTCTCTCTCTCTCTCTCTCTCTCTCCCCCTCCCTTCTTTAAACACATCTTAAAAATCAGAAAGTGCACAACTAAAATAAATAATTTAGTGTTTTCGTAATAAATTATCAATTTAGTGCGAACTAATCGGTTATTTGTTTCATTAAAATTATAATAAAATTATGTTCAAGTGACCTCCTCTTACTTTGATACATGTTCTTGCTCTTTTCTGCACGTTTCCCGTAGCTCTTTGAATTATTTTTGTCGATTCTCTCGCGATAGTACGGAATACTAATTACAATAATGCTGAAAAACTGTATATATAATTTATTGCGAAAAGTATTACCTCGAAAAAATATTAAAAAATAAAACTTGTGTCATTGTTGTATATTACTTTTATTAACATTTAAACTATAAAGAATACTGCAAAAGTACTTTTTAGACTATAATAATTTTATTTTAGCACTAGCTATTTTAGCAGTATTTTACTGATTTTAAAAAAATAACAGAAAAATAACGAATAGTAACATTTTATATATTTACGGTAACAAGTTATTTTTAAAAATCAGTAACTAGTAATGGTAACTTGTTACTATTTTACTCGGTAACCAGTAATTGCAACTTGTTACTTTTAAAAAGTAACTTCCCATTCCCAGCTCTATTTACTCTTTTGAGTCTTTATTAGGCACGCTTATAATATACATATAATTTATAGTTGAATATAAATCGTTTCCCTTTATCATTCAATCATTAAGGCCATTGCACGTAAAAGTATTATTCGTAACCGTAAGACCATAAAAAGCAATAAATTGATTGACTACGAAGCAAGCGATAATTCACGTGACTGTTTTCCGATTGGTTGGTCATAAGGATAAGGCATCTTATCATAATCGAATTCAAACCCGAATTCGGAACAGGCTAGCAATGAGGCCTTTAATAACAGATATTTTCCTTCTCACCATTTACCATATTTAATGCATGTCAGTGTCATTGATTTTACACCTATTGCGCGTTCTCATGAAATAATCATCATGCGCGAAATTTCCAAAATAGTTAAAATAGGCATTAAAAACATGAAGAAAATTGGAAAAGGGAAAATAGCGGTGGAAATCTCTCCTGCGGCCGCAAACCAGCTGGTTCTTAGTCAGGATCTTTCAAAGGCTGGCCTAAGAGCGTTTATCCCCACTTTTCGAGTAGTACGCACAGAAATTATTAAAGGATTCCTTTTCAATTACTTTTTCAGGCACCGTAAAGCCATTCAGATTAATTTTTCACACGGACAGCATCGAGGGTCCAGGTGATGTTGGAAATAGAGGCTTCTGTCTTAATTATGTGCAACAACCATGCACGACTAAATTAAGATAAAGGTCATTTCGTTAAGTATAATTAAAGGACTAAAGCGTAAGTTTACGGAATCCCAATTTTTATTTCAAAAATTTGACACATATTTTTTGTTACCATGTCAATGTATAAAGGAATTCGCATAAAAAGCAACTGATAAATTAGTTTAATATGAATGTGTTCTTATATATAAATCAAAAAGTACGCGAATCTTTCTTAGTAAACACGAATATTCTTTTATACTCTTATTATATACATTTCTGCACATTAGAAAGAGTAAGTTTGAAAAAAGAAATGCACCTTTCCTAACTTTTAGTAAATATTGTGTACGATTATGTAAAATCGGTGAAGAAATAAAGAAAAATCGCCGATACTGACATAGGTCTCCTAAAGTGACATCCCCTTATTTCTCAGAAATTAATTATTGCACTTTATTAATACCAATAAAAATATGATCTGTTTAGTTAATTAAAAAAGTGTAAACGCATAATTTTTTTTTCCTATATTTGTGGCTTATTTCTATACGAAATCAGCTAAAAACGAATCTATTCTATGAATGCGAAAATAAAATTCTTACGATTTTCTTTTGAAATTGCGTAATTTAAATAATAGTGACTATATTATTAATATAAAATTACAATTGCTACTGAGAGTCAGCGCGGGAGGGGGTGCTCGATTTTTTTTACCAGGGTTATTATAAATATATTGTATATTATAAGTATTATAAATATATTATAAATATTTTAATTCTTTACATTAGCACTGAAATTTTGGTTGGAGATTTGAGATTAGAATCTGAGATTTGAATTTGAAACCGAATCTTGAGATTTGAGAAACGACTATGAATTCGGGCCTAAAGTTGCACCTAGGCATGTCTACGAAAGCAGCTGACATGAAACTGTGACGTCAGCTTATGCATGCGCACAAACGCTCCCGTGCAGGAATATTCCCACGGACAGAGCACATCACTGATCATTACCACAGTCGCCAATGGTCGCGTTCAGCAGACTCAACTGTTGTGGAGCGGATCCGTGAGCGCTCACTGCTATTGGTGTATTCTTTTAGATCATCCAATAGCAGCGAGAGCTCATTGATCCGCTCCGCAACAGTTGAGTCTGCTGAACGCGACCATTGAGGACGGAACGCGATAAAAACCGATGAGACAAGTACAATATGCGTGAACGTAAAGTAACACGAGAGATACGTTAATTAACGCGGAAATAAATACGCGTAATCGCCAAACGTGCGAGAATATAAGTGGAACGCGGAAATAAAGCATAGTAGTCGTAACAAGTAACCAGGCATCGTGAAAACGCGAAGTACAACGCAGATATGTAACCGGCGAAGCGACATAGAACCAGCAATTGGTTTCGTATCTGAAAGCATCTTAGACGAAGGATAGCATCGCGAGTAACACGGAACAGTCATAATTAGTGACACGAGATGAGAAGTCTAGTTGATATGCAGCAAAGTGTCTTGTTGCATCATACATTGTTGTCAGCTATGTTGGAAGGTGGCACGTAGATTCGAGAACGAATCCGAATTCAAATTAATCGAATTAATGAGTGTGAGTGTGTGTAATTACTATTACTGATTGTTGAAAATACATTGTTACCGAAAACGGAACCTAAGTGTTTAAATCACATCTCACCTATAGCGCAATAATGGAAGACACATTTGTCTAGTTTACATCGTATGTTTTGATATGGGTACTAACTAGTAACTTTCTATTGAATTATCTTAATTTCGGCGAAACGTATAAACATATACATGATATGTGTATTTAATTAATCATTTTGATGTATATTGTACCAATTTAGTACATCCTTTAAATACATTGCTGAAATTAAAATAATTTAATAGAAAGTTACTAATTAGTACCGAGCACTTGATACGCGCATTAACTAGTAATTTTCTATTAAATTATTTTAATTTCAGCAATGTATTTAAAGGATGTACTAAATTGGTACAATATACATCAAAATGATTAATTAAATACACATATCATGTATATGTTTATACGTTTCGCCGAAATTAAGATAATTCAATAGAAAGTTACTAGTTAGTATCCCTATCAAGTGCACTATGTAAACTAAGCAATTAAGATCAAGGATTACATTATCCTGGATATTGCGAGAGATAGAGGTTCCGGAATTCCAGCCTATCTGAGAGGATGACTGAGAGAATGCCAGGACATCCAGTAGATTATTAGGATCCGTAGGTTTGATAAAGGAATTACCTTCTTTGTTATTTTAGGTAAAACAGAGTGACGACCGATAAGTAGTAAGTGATATTCATCAATCTATACATGATTTTATTCTATCTGTATCATTAAAGCGGTCACAGTATAATTATTCCCATAGCACGGTTTTATCAAGACATTTAATCATTTGGACCTGAACTTTAGTAACGTTGTTCTACGAGAATAAACGTTTTTTTAGATCATACAAATACCTTTAAAAAAACCTATAATCCCTATTCTTCTCTAAAAAGTAAAATCTGACGACCGTGATAGGATGTGTTAGGCCGGAATCAGACTACGCATTGAAGATTGAGATTGAAGATTGAAAAATTCAAATTTGACCAATCGAAACAATAAAAGCTAAAATTTCTTTGTCCTTATTGGTCAAATTTCAATCTTCAACCTCAATCTTCAATGCGTAGTCTGATTCCGGCCTAAAGACGTGCATGACGCGAGTGTTGATTGGTTGATACGTTTTAGCGAATGAAAATTACTACACGCGATAAACACGTGGTTCGTCTTGATTAATAAATTAATAGTAAAGAGTTAAATAATGGTTATGCATAAATGACAATGTCAGCATTTATAATACATGTAATGTTAGAATTAATGGAAGATACAAGACACGTACTATTAGAAGTCGTTGATTTTCATGAAGTGACATTAACCGCTGATCAGACAGATAGATTGAATGATTTGATAATACAATTATGTGTGATGGTGCATTTCTTATCTGGCCATCATCAACCACAAGTTTTGCATGATAATACTTAAGAAAGCATGTCTATCAATTTCATAATATATGTTGTATTGAATATTTTTGAGGATATACAAGTATTATTAAATGAGATATTAGATCAAGATCAAGTTGAATTATTACAGCAAACGCGAGACAGATTAAGTGTTTTATTAAGTGAAATCTCTGTAATGACGATACATTTGATTACAGGCTTTATAACGTACTGCATGCTAATTGGTTGAAAGTTTAATGTAGACTAAAGTCATAGATTGCGTAAGGTTACGTACCATAGTGTTGAGAAATTCTGATTGGTCGATTAAAGTAAAGCAGTAGCTATCCAATTAGAGTCAGTGAAAGTACCAAAGGCAAATTAAGTGCTGTGAAGTAAAAGTGATTTGGTAAATCCAAAAGAGCTTAGCCCGCAAACGGACCTTTGCGCAAAATTTTCTAAAAATTAGTCTTAAGGATTTTAAAATAATGTTGACAGATTGCATCACTTTCAGAAAGTGCTGTTTAAAACCGAGCAACCCTAAAGCGTTTGTGAAACTTTAAGTGGTTTCGGCCTAAAACAAATCCCTGAGCAAATTTTTTTTAAGTTAGAAAATATGTTGGACTTGGACGTGTAATGAAATTGTTCCTTTTCCTAAAGTGCCTAGCAAAATTAAAATCTGCTTTGGCTTAAAACAAACCCGTTACCTAATGAATTTGCAGATGAACCTAGAAATATTAGAGTTAGAAATGCAAGGCGCAAATTAAACGAAGAGCTGCCAAATTAAACGTAAGATACAATTCGATAAGAAAAAGAGCGAAACAATACAAACCTGATGATTTGATATGGTTAAGATTATACAGGCATTCAGACGCTAAAAGAAATGTTACAAATAAAATTCATCTTGTATATGATAGACCTTATCGTATAAATAAAGTTATAAGACTTAATGTTTATCTTTTAGAAGATTTGGAAGGACAGACAATTGGAGTCTTTAATTCACATCAAATAAGACCGGAGAGATCTCCAAGATACAAACCTCAAGAGAACCTACAATATCGTGGGAGATCGCCGAATCTAAATTCGAGCGGAGAAAGTTTTATCCAATCAAAAGACGACAATTCTGGTGGAAGTATTAATATGATTAAAATAGATCATCCTATGGAAAAAGCTGTTACACCTCGGGACATACAAAATCTTATCCTGAGGCTACGGAGAAGACTTGCTGAAAGTAAGCACAAAGAATTAATAACAGATGATGAAGAACAAGATGTAGATATTATTAGTATCAGTAGTGAAAGTACAAGAGAAGAACAAGATGTCAGACCTAGAGGAGAAGTTCAAGCGGAGACAATCCAAGACGTCACACCAACTTTGACGCAGAGAAAAGAAGTGTATAAAAACGAAGTCAAATACGATTACTATGGTAATGGATTTAAAAATATGAAAATAAATGTAAAAACAGGAAATAACCAATCCAGAACATTAAATACTCACCATTGGAAAAGTGCCAATCATTCAGAAAATTCCTTGTGGAAAAACGCCAATGAAATATCAGCATCCAAATTGCAGAATCCTGAAACAAAAAGAATAAGAAAATTAATAAATAAAAATTGTTGTGATGTACAATATCAAGCGAGGAAAACTATTTCAACGACGAAAACTGTCGAAAGAGTACGAAAAGAAACGAAGAAAAATCATCTCGAGACTTCAAGTTTAAATACACACCCGACGGAAAGGGTACAACCAATAACAAACGACATAGAAGAGTCGACCAATAGAAGTGTCGCAACAAGTGCCATATTGAAAGAGGTTACGGAACGTACCGAAACACCACGAGACAACGAGTTGTTATCAGGCGAGAGTGCGAACATCATTCAGAGCGAAAACGAAAAAATTCGACAGGCTCGACGCGAATTAAACCGAGTATTAAACGCGAACTGTTGTGTTACAAAGATGATAACGAGAAAGGATCTCAGACCGTATAAAAGTATTAAGGAAACAAAAACTGAAGAAAGAAGATCGATAAGGCTTATACGTGAGAAGCTGTACAAATGTGACAAAGTCGTGAAACGAGTAAGAAGAATAAAACGACTTAACGAAATTCTAAATAATATAACGAATGATGAAGAGTCAGATTCACAATCGGGACAAGATTCGATAGAAGTAATTAATCTTTACGATAAGAGCATTGTTGAATCAAGCGATGATGCAATATTATCCAAGGAAATCATCACAATGGATAAAGATAAACAACCCAAACACAAATTTGTGATCTCTGTAGATACACGAAACGACAACATAGAAAAATGTGTCAAGGATGAGACACTAAAAGTAGATATCATCATCAAGAATAACCAGATGAAAATTGACAGAATTATCGAGGACAGAAATCTAATTCCCTTTACACAGAAGGATGTCAAACGTAAGATAATTATACCATTGCAAGACTTAAACAAGAGTGATGTTAGTGAACTGAACCCAGCATATTCGAATTTAGCCGAGAATCAACCGACTGAAATACAAGATAATCAACTGACGCCTAGTCCAATCCATGAATGTATAAATAAAAATCCAAAAATAATCCTAGAAAAACTACAATTACCTTCTAATGCAAATAATGATACTACAATTAGATTAACGAAGAAAGGCCAGCCCAGAAAGAAAGCGGGAAGAAGACGCCTACCAGAACATCTAAAGGTAAAAACCCGAAAAAAAGATTGGAGTCGCCTCTCACCGACAAGTCGAGCAAAAAAGACAAGAGCAAATCAACCCAGAACATCAAAAGGAACGTGGAAGAGCACTCAAAAGAAAACACCAGAGAGGAAGCATCTTCAGATATTATTCGAGCAACTAAATGCCTTAAGGCAGAAGGAGCCAGTGATGTACACAGAACGTCAAACATCATCAAGCAGTGATGAGTCAGATTACGAAGTTAGACAGGTATGTCGACAAAATTCTTCCATAATACGCCAGTACACGGAACATAGCGTTTGATCACTTCGGTAAACCGAAAGGCCAACCTCGAACAGAGCATACAATCGACCTTATTTTCTCAACATAAGGCTAAAAATAAATTTATACTGCATAATAATACCTTTATAGGGCAACGATTCCATCCGAAGCACATCAACACTTGGCAGCATAACGGAACAGCAGAATGCCATAATAATACAGGATCTGAATATCCAACCGACAGAGAAAGCACCGATGGTGGAAATCGATAAACAGCGAGCGGAGAGTCCAAGCACAGATGTACAACTGTGAAATACATATGTTAAACACGATAAAAAGAATATATGAAAGATTTCGTCATAGAGAAAGTAAAGTTTTTATTTTGTTTCACTTAAGTTTTGATACTGATGTTAGGGTACCGTCCTATTAAGCACGGATCGAATTTCTCACTAGAATTGAACATTCCGTTCTAGTTCCGTTCCGTAACAGTTTTCTCTACCCGTCCCATTCGGTAAAAACGGAACGGAATATCGCGTCAATCGTAGGTAAGTATGCTTGATTCATCGACATTTCGTTATTTTGGGCAGTTGAAGCAATAATATACATATAATTTATGCAATTATCTTGGCGATAACATTGTTGTGAGTTCTCTAAAATATTAAATTGTAACGGTGAAATATATTTTGTAACTAGATTCCGTTCCATTTTTACTGAATGGAACGGGTAGAGAAAACTGTTATGGCACGGAACTGGAACAGAATGCTCAATTCCAGTAAGAAATCCGAACCGTCGTTTCAATCCGTGCTTAATGGTATGGCACCCTTATTCAGATTAGTTTTATAAAGATATATATTTGTTTAGGACTAGATACTGTTTTAGAGATTCAATTTACATTTTTATATTCATATTTTATATTTATGATATATACAGGGTGTCCCATTTTAATGTCCCACCTTAAATAACTTTTTTATATTTTTGATTTTAGAAAAAACTATATGAAAAAAAAAACGGTACTTCTATTTCGAGTCGAATACCGTCGAAAGTATAAAAGATGGAAAGAAATTTTTTTTTCAAAGGGGTGTTTCACCCCTTAAACATGAGTTAGCGCAAATATAAAAAAATACATGTCTCTTAGATTTTCGTGTTTAACAACATATTTCATGGAGAATCAAATCGGTTCCGGACAGTTGTGAAACTTCCCTTGTTAGCACAATACTTTGAAATTTTAGTTTGACCTGTAAAAGAAAAACAAATAAATTAAGTGCAATAGAGTTGTAAAATACTTACCCAATGTTTTAGTATAAGTATTAAGCTTATTCCTAGATACCTGAAAAAGAAGATAAATTAGTATTAAGATCTGTAAAATAACAGTAATAGATTATTTGAATAAAGGAGGGTGTTTACAAAGTTCTGGTACCTTAAGTTTTCAAGGTAGATTATATATTTGTATGAAAAATTAAATAACAAAGTAGTCGAATCATAAAAATGATTGACCATGTGTCAGAGTAAAGTTCACTTTAGTTGAAAGCATAACACAGATACTGTAAATAGTCTAAAGTTAATTGGTAATTATAAGGAAAGTGTAAAAAGTTTTAATAATATACTTTGTCAGACTTTCACACCATATAGGCAAGCGAGATAAGATTAAAATTTGATTTCATCAGTTTGTTTTGATAATGTGTTTTTTGTGTGAACAACATAGTTGTAACAGCTAAAAATAGCATTTCCAGGCAGATCCGAGCATTTGCACAATTTTGGCACCTTAATTTTATTATGTAGATTTAAACAACCAATCACAGAGTTCAGGCACCTTAGCTAAGTAGTCAGATTTGCAGACTGAATTGAACAAAAAGCTAAATACGCTAAAATAGCGTTTCTAAGGAAAAATTTAGGCAGATTATAGTTAGTAGCTGATTTGTTTAAAAGATTTTGATTTTAACACATTTATTTAATTATTTTAACATTTGGACAATATATTTGGACAACTAGAGTTTTTGTAAGAACAGACCCCGAAAGTGAATTCAATCTAGGAGTATATTAAATGCATAATTTCGATTATTATTTATTGGGACTGTCTGATGACAAACGAATTACATTGTCAGCCATGTTGGAAAGTGGTACCTAGATTCGAGAACTAATCCAAATTCAAATTAATCGAATTAATTAAGCGCTAGTTAATGAATGTGAGTGTGTGTAATTACTGTTACTACTTATTGTTGAAAATACATCGTTACTGAAAACGGTATCTAAGTATTTGAATCACACCTCACCTATACAATAGTGTAAGGCCGAAATCAGACTAGGCATTAAAGACTGAGATTGAAGATTGAAAGATTGAAATTTGATCAATCAAAACAATAGGAGCTAAAGTTTCTTTGCCCTCATTGGTCAAATTTCAGTCTTCAATATTCGATTTCAATCTTTAATGCGTAGTCTAATTCCAGCCTAAGACACAATTAAGATCAAAGATTACATTATCCTGGATATTGCGAGAGATAGCCACGGTTCCTGAATTCCAGCCTATCTGAGAATGACTGAGAAGATGCCAGGACATCCAGTAAATTATTAGGATCCGTAGGTTTGATAAAGGAATTGCCTTCTCTCTGTTATTTAGGTAAAACAAAGTGGCGACCGATAAGTAGTAAGTGATATTCATCATATCTATACATGATTTTGTTCCGTCTGTATCAATGGCTGCATTCAGCGGACTCAACAGTTGAGTGAGCGTTCGCTGCTATTGACGTATTCTTCTAGATCTAAAATTATGATTGGATGATCTAAAAGAATACACCAATAACAGCGAGCGCTCACTCAACTGTTGAGTCCGCTGAATGCACCCATTGAAGCGGTCATAACCTCACGTGGAATGCTAATATCACTGAGATTAATTAGCCACTTTTCATGCGTAGCATTTAACGTTGATTCTTCGCCAAAGGTATTAGGCACAATGTTAATATTGTAAACTTCAAGATTATCTGATAATTGAGAATTACCGGGGTATTGAATTAGAATGTTATTACCTGTAAAGCCGGAATCAGACTATGCATTGAAGATTGAGATTGAAGATTGAAAGATTGAAATTTGACCAATCAAAACAAAGAGAAGCTAAAATC